ATCCTATCTACTTACCAACTCTCTCTCAACTGGACCTCTTGGTATGTTCTCCTTAGGTGCTTTATTCTCTTAAAATATTCATCGGCGAGTAATCCCCTAATACCAATGTAAGCACACATCTAGTTCTGGTATGTCAGCTCTCTTCATCACTACGGCATTCTCCCTCAACTCCCAATTCCCAATGTAAGCATGATGAATTATCTCCTAATTTTGATCATGTGCTCCTTTTTGGGGATTTCTCTCTATTGATCTAGAATATGCTATTTTAATCCAAATAGTTGAAGCACACAATCAAGTATATGTATTTTGACAATCTCAAAGCATATAATCGATACTCGAGTACAGCATAATCTTTACTATCTCTGCAAATATCTCGTAGTGAAGCTAAAACTAGTTCATAAGGCATCCACTTGACCTATAAAAAAAATTACGAAAATTTACACAGTAACATATGATATATTTTACTTGAATATAGTTAGATATTATGATTGTACACCTGTTCATCCTCCATTTGATCAAGCTCATTTCTATAAAAGTTTTGTAGGCGTCAAAAAATGCTGAGAGATATCCGAATACAGCTCAAAAAGGCAGAAGAACACAAGTATGGGCTGTCTCGCACGCGAGACAGTCTTTACTGTCTCGCAGGCGAGACAGTATTCTCTGTCTCGCCATGCGAGACAGTGTTCTCTGTCTTGCCAGGCGAGACAGTTGTTACTATCTCGCAGGCGAGATAGTGTTCTCTGTCTCGCCATGCGAGACAGCATTCTCTGTCTCGCCCGCGAGACAGCATTCTCTGTCTCGCCCGCGAGACAGCATTCTCTGTCTCGCCCGCGAGACAGCATTCTCTGTCTCGCCCGCGAGACAGCATTCTCTGTCTCGCCCGCGAGACAGCATTCTCTGTCTCGCCCGCGAGACAGCATTCTCTGTCTCGCCCGCGAGACAGCATTCTCTGTCTCGCCCGCGAGACAGCATTCTCTGTCTCGCCCACGAGACAGCTTTCAAAGAAGTCAGAAACCATTTTATAACCGCCGACACGTGGCCACCAACTGTTCAAGAACGTGGGGAACGTCGTGGGCGAGAATCACGTTGATAACTACCAGAATAACGGAGTTTAAAACGTGGGAAGGCAGTTACAGCGAGAAACTGTCAGGAATATTCGTTTTCTAAGCTGGGCGAGACAGCAAATTTACTGTCTCGCTGGGCGAGACAGCAAACACTGTCTCGGCCAGCGAGACAGCAAACGCTGTCTCGCCCGCCGAGACAGCAAACGCTGTCTCGCGAGCACTGTTCATACAGGGGCTATAAATACCCCCGAGGTGATTTCTTTGAAGAGGGCTGATCATTTTGAACACTTCAGAGCAGACAGAGCAGAGTTCTTGGGCCTTCGGCAGATCTTTGATATTCAGGCTTTGACTTGAGTTCAAGAAGAACGACTATCTTACCTTGATAAGATATCGTTTCAATTTCTAACTTCGATAACGAAGAAAGAATCATAAACCCCTCACGATTCAATCAGAATCTGTGATTTGGTGGTCCACGAGTCAAAGCGCTCCCGGCACAGGCAAAGATCCCACGCAAGCAGTGATCCAAACAACGATCCTGCGTTTGTTTCCCAAGAGTTATAATTTTTATTTTGTTGTGTAAAAGAGGTCTTATAAAAAGGCTATTTCTTTTGAATTTATTGTAATCGACCGAAGATATAATGAATTCCACAGCAGAACCAACTTTTGACGAAAACAGTATATACGAAGGTTTCCTTATTTGGATTATTCCCTTGACGTACTCATCTCATGTTGTGGGTTTCTAATTCTTAACTCTTTTTAGTACAGTGTATAAGATATATCCTTTGTGGTAGACCTTGTTGATATCTATAATTAGCAAATTTCCTTTATCATCTTAAGTGAGATTCCATCTTTTTTTTATACCTGCCATAATACACTTACACACGCACAATTTCCTCATTTTACATGCTTATTGGGAGTTTTCTGACTCCCCTGAGGTTTGCTCGCCCCAGACTCAGGGACCATTCTTTCTTCGCAGGACCGATAGTACTTTGAGAATCAGACCCCGCGACAGTGATTATCTTCTGACCTATCACTCTCTCAGGTTTAGTTTCCTTAGGTGGCTATGTGATTGAGACTTTTCCTATAATCACCTGTGGTTCTCCAGACTATGATGTATTTTTTCTCTTTCTTACTTTGGATAGTTGTGAACTTGTAGTAGAACTCTGTCTTTTCAGAGATATCTTCATTTATCTATTTTCTTTGTTATCTTAGTTACATGCTCTACGTTGTAGTTCTTTCGGTAATATATATGTATACAAGAATAGATGATCCAGAAGCGTGAATGTGACTGTATGGTTGCATTGCCAACCGAGTCACGCTCCAATGCAGTTAGGTCAAAACCTATTAAAAGTCCTACAAGAAGTAATGTGCACCTCCTCACAATGATAACATAGGCCTTAGAACCTAATATGAAGTATATTTAAGACTGCAAACAAAACAAGTCTTACTATATTCCTAAATGCAACTTACTGGGAAACAAAGTACTGTACAAATGCGCTTTTGAAATTTGCTTTCAAATGAAAAACCATCTCCCAGAACATTGAATATACTGTTCAGCTGACCTCAGGCATATGGTTATTAATTAAATTTGGTAGAACATAAAAATTAAGGTGGGAAAGGGCTCCGGTGAGGGGTAAACATCACCGTATATATGACTATTAATTGAGTTTGACAGATGTTTTCGTTCCTTTTGTTTTCTTGTTGTTTCATATTTTTCTGACGTCTCTACAAAATTCTTCTGCAAATATCAAAAAAGAAGACATGCCTCTCAAGTAGTAAGAATTCTCCACATACAGATTATGTACCGAGACACGTCATTTTTATAATCATGGACAACTTTAGACTTTTAGGTTACTGATGCAGAATGGAGAATCGACAAAAGAAACCTCGGATGAAAATGAAGTGATGAACAATACCCAGGGTGAACACTGCTGGCGTGAATATCTCAAGACTTTTCTCTTTTTCTAGAAAAAAATTCTGAAAGAAATCTAAGATATAAAACAGATAGATTAGGATACCAGATTAACTTGTAGCATCACGGATTAACTTGCAGCACCTAACCTATGAATAAATGACTTCACGTTGAAGAATCACTCCAAAATTCTCACACGAACATAACCTCATTCACCATGAACTCTGCTGCATTACAGACGTTTCCTCCCTCTTTAATAGAGTTTGGAGTTCTTATCTAAGACAAGATAAAAAAACCCATCCTATCTGATCTCCAAGACCAATTCAATCATAATTATAAAATAATCCAAACTCAATCCTAACACAATTCAAATAAAAAAACTAAACAAAATAACTATATTTCACCTATCTAAAACCAAATCCAAATCTAAAATCATAAAAAATCTATCTTCAATCCAAATCAAATCTGAACAGTGATTGTGTCATGCAATAGTCATCACCTTATAAAAAGGATGAATCCTTGAATTGGCTAAATACCCATATTGGTATTTTAATTCAACCCCATTTGCCAACAATGTATTTTAATTAGGAAATTCGGCGATAAGACATTTTAATTGAATAAAATTACCATTTAGGTCCTTTTTCTCGTCGGCGGCCATTTTTCCGGCGAGAACTCATCACGTGCGTTGCACGTGGGGGCTTAATATGTGTTTAAGATGCTGATGTGGCTCTGTTTTCTGACGTGGCAGGGAATTAACCCTCTAAAAACCAACTTCACGCCCAAGGCGCTCTCCACCTACCTCCGCGTCCAGCAGAACGTGATCGTCGCTCATTTGGGTCGCTGGGTCGAGATGTCCGGCCCCGACGAGCCCATCAAGCTCAGAAACGTCGAAACTTTCGAGACTGCTCAAGCTCAAAACCCCATCAGGCAGAGACCCAGAGAGATGATTCGACGAAACATTGAAACTTACAAGATTCCAGCAAGAGCCAATGCTGCTTGGTACCTGGCCGTACAACTTGTTACCAGCCAAATTGACATCGACCAAGCTCTCACATTGTGAGAAAAACCTAGTGGGTATCTCTCCAATGAGCCCATTGGAGCTCAGATCAATGTGGGTGAGATTTGGGAGCTGGGTTAAGTCTGGAATCAAGAATCGCGGTGGTGAAGAGGGGAGGCGGCAGTGATGGAAGAGGGGAAGAGGAGAGAGAGAGGCCACGTCAGAAAACAGAGCCACGTCAGAAAACAGAGCCTTAAACACAGATTAAGCCCCCACGTGCAACGCACGTGATGAGTTCTCGCCGAAAAATGGCCGCCGACGAGAAAAAGGACCTAAATGGTAATTTTATTCAATTAAAATGTCTTATCGCCGAATTTCCTAATTAAAATACCTTGTTGGCAAATGGGGTTGAATTAAAATACCAATATGGGTATTTAGCCTCCTTGAATTCTTTCTCTTCACTAACAGATTTTTCTCAGCTACCTCTCTTGTTTGGTGCAGTTAGGCATAATGTGTTCCTCAATCCTAGGAATAGAAGCTTTTCGACCATATCTACAATAGCATAGAGAGAAGCTTATCTCCCTACCTCTATAAAGACATGAAGGTCCTCATTATCAGAGAGAATGTGTGACTGAGGTTGGACAGACAGGTAGAAGCCCCTTAGGGTAAAAAGGAGTAAAAAAAAAATCACTCTGGAGGACTATCTGTAGGGTAATAAGTGGCTCAACATGGTACTGCAGAAGGCCAATGTGCAACTAACCCTGGGGACGTAGTTGTTATTGTTGTCGTCATGTTATAGAACTTACTCAACATTTGCTTAGAAATGCTAGTTATGGTATGAAGGACTGAAGGAGCACCTTCCTGCATCAAACTTACAAGGTATAAGTGGCACACATACACTACAGGAGCCTGTGCATAATAGCCCCTAGAGACATTGTTGTCATGTCGTGGTTATATGTTATATAACATACTCAACATTTGATCATCAATGTGGGCAAAATTTTATTAAAAAAAATGGTTCGCTTACCATTTGAAGTGAGAATCAATGATAGGACCGCGCTCCGGTGTGCATGCCAAGACAAGCCCTCCCTAAAGCTCGACCCCCCTTCCTCCTCCTCAGCACCTACGCCTCCATCCTGATTCATCTTCCACGACCGAATCTTCCCGTCCTTGTGCCCGGTCCAAACTAACCCCCTCCGCTCGTCCAGAACCAAAGACATAGTAGGCGAAGTCCGGCCCGACTCCCTAAACGGCGCGCTCTCCTCGTCCCCGCCCTTCCGCCCCTTGTGGCCCCCGAAAACCTGAGAGAACTCCCAGAACCGGACCCCACACTCCGTGGAGGCCCACAGCTGGGACCGTGTGCAGGCGATGGACGCGGCGGCGGCGGCGATCCCTCCGCCGCCGCCGCCCTGCGCCCTCCGAAAGAAGCAAAACAGCCTCGAGCTCTCCTACCGTCCACCGGCACCGCCCGCGCCTTCTCCGTACCCCCACTACCACTCCCCCAACCCCGGTCCCAAACCCCTAACCTCACCGACGCCCGTCCCCGAATTCACCGGCAGCGGAGGCGGCACCGGATCTTCAAACTCCCGTGCGGGCCCCATGCACCCCCGCCGACCTCCCTCTCTCCAGCTCCGGCCCACCCGCTTCGCAGAGAACCCAAGTGGTCCTTCCTCCG